TTCCAGGTGTGGACGGACCACAAAAACCTGGAGTACCTCAGGTCCGCTCACCGCCTTAATCCTTGCCAGGCCAGATGGGCACTGTTCTTCTCTCATTTTAACTTCACCCTGTCATGCCGACCCGGTGAGAAAAATGTTTAAACCTGATGCCTTGTCACGGGTTTTAGAGGATAATTCCCCCTCAACTCAGGAGGAGAGCTTTATCCTTCCTGAGAGTGCTCGCCTGGCCATTACCCAGTTAGAGCTGGACCTAAGGAGCTCCAGCCAGTCACGTCCCCCTCCTACCAACTGTCCCCAAGACCGTTTGTATGTACCCACTAACATGGTCAAGAAGGTATTCTGTCACAACTCTCTGTTATTTTGTCACCCCGGTTTCACTAAAACATTATCTCTTGTCAGAGCTCAGTTTTGGTGGGAGACCATGTCCAGAGATGTCCGTGCCTATGTGCGTTCTTGTCCGGCGTGTTCCCAGTCCAAGACCTCCAGACGACCACGTTCGGGGTTACTTCATCCTCTTCCTTGTCCATCACGTCCCTGGTCGCACATAGGTATGGACTTCATAACCGGTCTCCCAACTTCCAATAACTTCACTATCATTTTAAACATCATTGACCGTTTTTCTAAAATGGTTCACCTAGTTCCTCTGCAAAAGCTACCCTCCTCCAAGGACCTAGCCCACATTATGGCTCGGGAGGTTTTTAGGCTCCACGGACTGCCTCAGGACATTGTCTCAGATCGGGGGCCTCAGTTTGTCTCCCACTTCTGGAGAGAGTTTTGTGTCCTCTTGGGCATTTCCGTTAGCCTCTCCTCTGGCTTCCACCCTGAATCTGATGGCCAGACGGAGAGGGCTAATCAGGAGGTGGAGGGCAAGCTGAGGCTCCTCTGTCAACAGGATCCAAAGAAATGGAGCTCATCACTGCCCTGGATCGAGCATGCCCTTAATTCTATTCCCTCCTCAGCCACCGGTTTGTCTCCCTTTTATGTTGTTTTTGGTTTTCAACCCCCAGCAGTCTCGGTCCAGGAACGCAAAGCCTCTGTCCCCTCAGCTCACATGGCGGCCCTCCGCTGCCAGAGTCTGGAGGAGGGCCAAAAAGTCTCTCTTAAAATCCAGGGCGGCGTACACTAGAAAGGCTGACCGCCACAGAACCCCACAACCCGACTATGCTGTGGGACAGAGTGTGGCTGGCCACTAAAGACCACCCTCTTAAGGTCTCGTCCCGCAAACTCCCCCCCCCCAATTCATTGGACCCTTTCCCATTTCCAAGGTTATCAACCCCATGTCTGTTCGTCTGACATTACCCAAGTCCTTACGTGTTCACCCTGCTTTCCATGTTTCTTGTGTTAAACCGGTCATTTCCTCCCAGTACCACTCCCCTGTTCGTTCCCCCCCACCTGCCCGTCTGATTGACAGCTCTCCTGCCTACACTGTTCACCGACTCCTCCGTTTTAGATGAAGGGGTCAGGGGCTTCAGTACCTCGTTGATTGGGAGGGATACGGACCGGAGGAGCGGTCCTGGGTTCTCTCCCGCCACATCCTGGACCGCAGTCTCATCCGGGACTTTCATCGCCTGGATCCCGAGCAACCTGGTGGAACGCCGGGAGGCGTTCCTTGAGGGGGGGATCTGTCACGAATAAAGTTCCATAGATTATATTTTCTGTCACCCTGATCACTCTTTAAAGTTTGCTATAGATCTTTTCTGTGAGTTTCATTTATTCTGTCCGCTCTGGTCATGTTTTATGTATGTGAGTTTTAGTTTGTCTTCTTTGCATGCTGGTTGAGGGTGATGTCATGGTTGTTTTTGTCTTCACTGCAGCCAGCAGCAGCTGATTGAACTCAACTGGCTGCACCTGTCTCTCTCACCCTTTAAAAGCTGCACTCTTTCTCCTCTTCGGTGCCCGGAAGTTGAAAACGGTTCACTGTAAGTAAATACCTCGCGTTTATGATCCTGCCTTGTTTCCCCATAGCCTTTGTGTCCCCTTGTTATAGTTTACCTGTCTCCTTGTTCCTGTCCTGCTCCTGGTTCTTGTTCTCCCCTCTTGGCTTGACCTCCCGGCTCATGGACCCACGACTCACCTGGACATTGTCTCTCACTCGACCCTTTGGATTATTACGTCTTCTGCTTTCGGTTCTGACCTTCGCCTGCACGACAACGCCTCCTCGTCTTCTCCTCCAGTACCTCCTGTCTTCTGCTCTCCAGTTTTGGACCCTGGCTTGTGTGACCACGTCTCTTCTCTCAACGGACTCACCACCCACCTGTTGCTGCGGCCGATTGCAGCCCCTCACCGGACTCAGCCTCTCCTGCAGCAATCCGGATCTGTTTGGACCTCGTCAGTCTCAAGAAGCTTCAAGCTCATCTGAGACGGTTAGTGGTCCTCCTCATTCTGACTTTTGCTCTACATCTCCTGCACCACCACTAACCGATCTCTGTCTTATAGACTCATTCCTGATCCGGAACCAGAACCCAGAACCAGTCCAATCTGCTATACTTCACCTTGAAAATAAATATAATTTAATTTTGACTTTTTGTGTGGTGATTTTGGTCTAACCGTTAGGTGGTTCGTTACAATGGATTGTTGCAACGTCTGCAGACTCTGTACCGATCCATTGTGGTGAAGAGGGAGTTGAGCTGTAAGGCAAAGCTCTCCGTTTACCAGTCATTCTATGTGCCTACCCTCACCTATGGTCATGAGCTCTGAGTAGTGACCAAAAGAATGAGATCATGAATATAGGGAGTTGAAATGAGTTTTCTCCACAGGGTAGCTGGGCTCTCCCTTAGAGACAGTGGTGTAGTCTATGTGATACGCGGGCATACATATTATATCCATTAGAAAAGCTTGGGAATTTCAGTCTACCCACTTAAAAGTGCCCAATGATACGAGCCCATGTCACGTATCATTGGCAAGGATACGTGACATGGACTCGTGTCATTGTCATCACATTTGGAACATTTTATTGACACGTTGAGATGGTTTCAACCTGTTTTTTGTATAATTACTTCTGTACTTACTACTTAATATTTGAACATGTTTTGCTTTGATACTGTTTTATAAATTCTATAACATGTTTTAATACAAAAGCCAACTGTTGTACAAAGTTTGTTGTACATTTATTCAAATAAAAGCATCAGATACATTTTGAAATTTTCAATAAGCTTAAAAACCAAAATAAATTGACAATTACATTGTACTAAATGGTGTACTTTGGTTTCTAAGCATCGTGAGAAGTTCAATTATCCAGGAGAGACTCGGGAGTAAAACCACTGCTCCTCCACATCGAGAGGAGTCAGTTGTGGTGGTTTGGGCATCTGATAATGATTCTTCATGGGCGCCTCCTTAGGGAGGTGCTTCAGGCATGTCCAACTGGGAGGAGACCCCGGGGAAGACCCAGGACACACTGGAGAGACTATGTCTCTCAGATGGCCTGGAAACACCTTGGAGTCCTCTCAGAAGAGCTGGAAGATGTGGCTGTGGAAAGGATGTCTGGACCTCCCTGATCAATATGCTGCCCCCAAGACCTGACTTCAGAACAAGCAGCAGAAGATGATGAATGGATGGATAGATGGATGGAGACATTTACTTTAGTATCCACTTCCTCAGTGTACCTCTGAGCCAGTGTTTGCTCCTGACGGTACATCTGTTCATGTTTTCCCAGTGTGAGCTGAGACCACAGCAGTGATTTAAACATTAACGCATGTAGACTACATGTGGCGCCGTGCACTTTGGTCCCAGGTAACTGAATCTAATGGTCAACATGTCACTTTTAGATGTTTTAACAAAAATATGGAGCAGTGAATTGTGGTTACAATATCTCCTTTGGCCTCATATGTCCAGAGACATTGTTCCAGAAGTCTTGAAGTTCATTCAGATGAAGGCTGTGTTTTAGAGAGATGTTTTCTCCTGAAACTCCTCCCAAAAATCTAAACTTGTTCTTTTTTTTTTTTTACAACTGTCCTGTTGTTAATTTTATAATTTATCTATTTTTGACAGCTGCACATAGAGTCAGCTATGGAGCTCTTGGGTTATTTGTCTTTTCTCTGAGCATTGCACTGTCTGACCTCTGGGTGAAGTCGCTCGACTGTCTGCTCCTTGGAAGATTGGCAGCTGCGTTAGATCATTCATATTTTTTAAATCACGAAATTCATGTAGATTAGAAATTACCTTAAACTTTAGATTGATGGGCTTCTCTGAGGACATTGCTGATGTCTTTACATCTTGGCACTGTGCTAACACACTTGTCTGCTCCAGAGCAGCAAACATAAGAAAAGTGATCATGCTGATCATGGTCAGTTCAAATCAGCATCTCCTGGATGATACTTTCACTTCTTAAATCCTGTGGAAGCAGCCAGGGTGGACAATTCTTCACACAGTGTTGTTAATAAATGTTGACAAGGCGGAATCTGTGTGTCTGGACACTTGAGGTTAGAGTTAAATCATTTTTAAACTTGGCAGGGATCAAATAATTAACATTATTGTCCTTGTATGTAAAGACCTTTAAGTAGCAGAGGGTGGACTTACATATACTGTTGTTTACATTTTAGCACACGCACACACACACACACGCATGCACACACATATTTCCAATAAGAAGAAAGTGAACTGGGACTCAGGAAGGGACTGTTTTTCTGCATTTCTATGCAGGTGTGTTGTTCACTGAACAGTGCTCTGAATGTAAAGGCACACATAAAATATTCAAAACTAATAATTCAGTTCATTATTAAATAAAAATAAATGTCCAAATATGTGACATATGTGGGATGATAAAGAACACATTTAATGTATAAATGTTATAAATTGTAGCATATTCAGGAAGTAATCTAGTGTAGAATTAAACATAATCACCAAATAAATGAAACGTGTTTAGTTATTGTTCAGTGCAGTTTAATCTAACTGTTGTTAAAATGTCCTGCTAAGTGATGAAGTGTTTTATTCACAAGCATGACCCGTCTGTCCTGTTAGTTTAATATTCCTGCTGGTTTCATCTTTCTGTGAGCTCAGAGTGTTCCTCTCACTGCTCCTCTCTGCAGGACCACTTGTTCTTTGTGATGGCGTATGTTAACGGGGACGACTTGATGTTCCAGATTCACTGGTCCAGGAAGGCTGACGAGGCTCGGTCTTGTTTCTGTGCCGCCGAAGTCACGTCAGCTCTGATGTTTCTGCACCGACACAGCATTATTTACAGGAGGAACTCCACAATCACACACACTCACCAACAACACATGTTTGGACTTTTCACTGTTACACTGACAAACATTCCTCCTTCTGCAACCTTTTGGTTTTACTGCCAGGCTTCAACTAGATGCCAGTTGTTCCCCGTCACGAAGCAAAATGCCTCCATCCATTTGTCTATGTTGTGAGCTGGATAACTTGAAAAATAAGCAACATGTCAACTTCCATTGTGGTGTGTTGCTGCATCTAGGTGTAAGAAAGTTCGTCATTAAAACTTTAAATACCATACCACTTTATTTATAAAGCACTTAAAACAGCAACAAGGCCAACCCAAGTTATGTACAGCAAAAACAAACAAGCAAAGGACACAGGATAAAATACATAGATCCACAGAGGCAAAGATAATAACTAAACGACTAACATTATAGAATACAGGCAAGTAAAATCAATGCACACAGTGTCAAAAGCCAGAGAATAAAAGTGTTTTCAAAGGAGACTTAAAAACAGTGAGAGAAGGTGATAACTCATTCCACAGTTTTGGACCTGCAACAACATCCCTGTCGCCTCTGAGCTTGAAACAAGTGCCTGGAACCAATAAAAACATCTGGTCTGCTGACCTCAGAGAGTGCTGTGGGACATATGGCTGCAGCAGATTAGCGAGATAAGAGGGGGCGGAACTATTCAGAGCTTTAAAAACATACAGAAGGATTTTAAAATGAATTTGAAAGTGAACCAGGAGCCAGTGAAGGGAAGCCAAAACTGGAGTAATGTGCTCTCTTTTAAATGCCACGTCAAAATTGAAGATGGCTTCCACCAAATATATAAATAAACTGGCCACCCCAATCATTTGAGGAAACTATGCTTTCATAGTTTTTATGTTGTTTGCAAGTGTAGTTTCCTCAAATGATGGGGTGACCCTTGGGGTGGGCAAAGATTATTCTATGGTGGGTAAGGCCACCATAAGCCACCCCTGCCTTGACCATTGCCCCAATGTTTGATTTTATGCTTCCAACTGTGGCAGGCTTTTTGTTACAGGACATGTAGATAACTCGCAGGGAAAGGTCAAATATGCTTCACTGTTTAAATCTAGATACTTAAGGTAGACCTAAAGATAAAATAACTTGTTTTATATTTGTTATAAAAAATAAAAAAAAAACATCAATCTCTGTTAAAAGTTCTCTAAGTGAAATGGATGTGGTTACCATATAACAGGAATACATTATGTATCGCCCTCTGCTGTTTAATCTGTGCTGAAATTAAAAAATAAAAAACGTTTTGCATCTCTGTCATTAAAAAAGGAAAAGTTTTTGACAGATCATATTTGTCATATGCCTCTTATTTTGAATGAATGAGTAAATCTGATTCTGTCAGACTCACTGCACGCCACTGGTAGATACAACACAGCTTGACCTGTAAAGGCCAGGCTGTGGAGGTCATGATGGTTTGAATCTTTCAGGAAATGATCAGAAGTTCATTTGAACACAAAGTTGTTTGTGATGTTCCTGCGTCCAGTTACTACATCAGGTTTCTAAATCCTTCCTTTGGTTCTGAAACGTTTTGACCCTGGCGTGCTCGGTCTGCATATGCGAGCTGAGATGACCTCACTTCATGGATCATCTGCCGCTTCAGTCAGAATATCAGCTGATAACAAACATCCCATCCTGACACCATTGTGATGAGCGGATAAAGCTCCGTGAGGCTTCAGACTTTTTTTAAACAAATATCTGCAGCGGATGAAAAATGGGGATTTTTGAGGAGTGTTTCCTCTGATAAATGGGAAGTTTAATGAGGTGTTTGGATTTTCTCCTCATGCAACCTGTGTGTGTCTATGCTGTTATTGTTTTTTTCTTTTGGCTCCTCCCTTTTCCAGGGGTCACTGTAGCAAACAAACCCACACAAAGATTTGTCTAAATGTTTTACTCCAGATGGCCTTCCTGGTGATCAAGCTGCAGCCTCAGGATTATGAGGCCACAGCACTGACCACCGAACTACCGTCTGTGTCTGTGTATCCAAATTTTCGCAAGCTTTAAAAAATTATTCATTATTTTCTGTCCTGATTTCTACTCAAGACTTTTCTTTATTTAAGCCTGTAAACACCTTTAGTTCAGAAACTGTCATGTCCACCAGGAAATTGTCCAAAATTGTGAGAATGTCCTCCATTTCAAAAATGTTTGTAAGCTCAATCATCCAGGTAGATAACAAAAAAGATTAAATCATGTCACCTGGACAGTTTAATTGAGAAACATTTTGTCTCCCATCTGGTAGGTAGCCTTCATTGCTGTGTTTCAAGCAAACCTCCTGTTGACATCTCAGAAGTAGGCTTTTAGCACGTGCAAACAGGGCCCACCCATCCAAAACTATCATGCACAACAAATCAAATGTTTTAGGCTAGATGGCTAACTTGCTTCTTACAGAAACAGCCTGAGGACAACCAAGGTCAAAATGGTTCAGAAAAAAAGGCTCAACACAGCAGAAGCCTATATGCCACGGACTTCCGTTCTAGCGCTTCCGTATTTTTTAGCCAGGCTGAACACTTCCGGTTCACAGGAAACACGGTGTTAGTAATGCCGTTTTTCACTTGTTCGCTGCAGGACTTGCCGACAATGACGATGTTTATAGAATTATTTTATTTATGAGAGTTATGCTTTAAAATAAATTAATTATATCTCAGGAAATTAAATGTTTAATTGAAGTGAAACAGTTCTGGTGTCACAATAAAGGAAACTGCAGAGAATATTTCAACTCAACTCAAATTTATTTTTGGTAAATTAAAAACATTACAAAAAAAGGGAAAAACAATATAAAATGGTAAATCAATTATTTACAAAAAAAAAAAGGAATAGGCTGAAGCCAAGGCTTATACTTGCCTACCCTGTTCATAGACTCAGCAGTCTACATAATGACAGATATCTACTGTCCACATATACACATACAGACATTTACCGTATATTTAAATATGCATGTGTATAATACATACATTTATCATATATTTAAATATGCATGTATATAATACATACACATACTCACATTACATACATGGTTGCACAATACATATATACATCTACATAACATCTCCATAAGCTTTTATAATTTTACATTTTAAGGCTTTTTTAAACCAAAAAACATCATTTGAAATCATCATTCAATTCATTCCAAAGTTTCACACTGATAACTGACATACATCTAGATTTTACTTTACTTTTCTCTTTAGCTTGTTCAAATATGAACAAACCACGTAAATTATATTTACTCTCTCTTAACTTAAATAATTTCTGAATTCCAGAAGGAAGACTTTTATTCAGTGCTTTATACATTATTTCCAGTATTTTTATATAAACAATGTCATTAAATTTTAAAGTATTAATTTGAATAAAGAGTTTATTAGTTGGTTCACAATATCCCACTTTATTAATAAGTCTAATTGCTTGTTTTGTAACTTTATTAATACTTTGTATGTTAATAGTAGTTTTATTTGCATTTCCCCATATTTCTGAGCAATATGACAAGTAGGGCATAATCAAGGAAGAGTATATAATATGCAAGCCTTTTACATTTATTAAATCTTTTATTTTAAACAATATTCCAATAGTTTTTGCAATTTTATTTTTAATATATTTAATATGACACTTCCAACTAAGTTTGTTGTCCAGAATGATACCTAAAACTTTTGTCTCATAAACTCTGTCGATTTTAACTCCATTTATATGTAACTTTACATTATTATTAATCCGATTACCTGAAAATACCATAAAATTAGTTTTTTTTTCATTTAAAGATAGCTTATTATAATCAAACTACTTTTTTTAACTCAGCTAGCTCTTTTTCTACTATTTGTATTAGTTCTTCCATATTCTTTCCAGAAAAGAAAAAGTTTATATCATCAGCAAACATTATAAATTTCAAAATACCGGATACTGTAAAACTATCATTTAAATAAAGTATAAATAATTTAGGTCCTAGAACTGAGCCTTGAGGAAGACCACATTTTATAGTTTCAATTTGTGACTTTGTGTTGTTAATTTGTACATATTGTAACCTATTACTCAAATAACTCTTTAACCACTGTTGTGTAACCCCCCGTAAGCCATATTGTTCACATTTTCCCAGAAGTCATTCATGGTCAATAGTGTCAAATGCCTAACATAAATTAATGAACACACCCACTGTGTTAATTTTCTGATCAACTGCTGCAGCAACATGTTCCACAAACTCCATCACAGCTAAAGTTGTGGAGTATGTTAAGATATTTTTGGACTGGTCCTATGGTTTGGTTGTTTCTAAAACCGTACTGGTACTGGTGTAGATGAACATATTCTGTGATATATTCATAAATTAAACGGATTCATTAATTTTTCTGGACTGAATAATATCGTGCATTGAATTTAATAAAATGTAACGTGAGGCGTTAATTTTCTTTGACCCATCAAATGAATCGGTCATTTATTAACAGAATCAAAGTTTAACATCAAACATTTACATTAATTTGGCAAAATTGAAAATAACAACATGGCTTAGTTAGCAAGCTGTACAATTAGAAAACCATACGGCGATGGTTTTCCGTTGCTTCACAACAGACATTTCTGAAAATATCTGGAATGACTTCTAGCAGAATAGAAGAGTTTAAAGATGGAAATGAAGTTTAGAGGGAGGGAGATGGTGTGTGAGGGAAAGTGTTGAACAGAACGGCACCCTCCATTCGAACCCAGCTTTCCTCGGTACGCTCGGTAGTAAACTCGACTCGTTACCTCTCTGAAGATGAATCAGCGGATACGGAGTTCCAGTTAACGCTACCGATCCAGCGTCTCCGTAGGATGGCAGAGAACCGTCCGGAGTGGTGGCGGTACTTCATCAACAACAGTTCACCTCTCGGTTGGGCTCACATGAGTTGTGAGTCCGTCAGAGTTCCACTCAGATGTGGAAGATTGCATAATTCCCACGAGACTCGGAAGAACTCCGGATCATGTCGGAAACTCCTGAACTCTCCAGCACTTTTTCCGTTCGGTTGGCTCT